AAACCATTATTCAAAAAAGGAGACACCAGTGATATAGGAAACTAGACACCTATTACACTCATACCAGTATTTTCAAAAATATTTGTGAAAGTAATGGCTGAAAGGCTAAAATAATTTATAAATAAACATAGTGTAATCAATAATAATCGATTCGGATTTCAGGAAGGAAAATCGACTACACAAGCTTGTTTTCAATTGTTAAAAAAAAGTGAATCTTTAAATAATAGAGTCCCTGTAGTGGCAGTATTATTTTCTTGATATGTCAATACTACTAGCAATACTAGCAAGCCAGATAAGAAACAATTGAAATGCTACATCTGTGATGGCCCTCACAAATATTATCAGTGTCCAAACAAGGAAAATTCAAAGAAGGAAGCTCATCAAGCGTTTGCCTTCGGAACAACATTGAAGTCTGACCCTGGAGAAGATTGGGTGATCGATTCAGGAGCTTCGTCGCACATGACGAAGAACAAAGCTTGGATGAAAGATGTATCGAAGACTGCTAGACTTTTGAAAGTTATGTGTGCGGATCGAAATGAGGTGCTGGGTGAAAGTGTCGGTAAGGTTGTGACTTATAAGATGACGGTAAGCGATGTTACTTATATTCCAAATTTATCTTCAAACTTGTTGAGTGTGAATGCTTTAACTAAGAAAGGCTATGTTTTAATGTTTACAGAGAAAGGATGTGACATTTTTAAAAGTAATGGATGTGAAGTCTATGGTGAATATGTTGGATCAGGTGTAGGAGAACGAGGTATTTACAAAATCAAAGACTGTTTATACGGTTCTGCACTAGCAACAACGGAAGGTGAGCAGAACAATCAGATTTAATGGCACAGAAGGATGGGACATCTAGGCGAAAGAAATTTAAAATTACTGAGGGACAAGATGGCAATTGGGGTGAGTTTTCCAAATTGTAATTGCAAACTTGAATGTGTTTCTTGTATAATGGGAAAACAAACGCGGCAACCTTTCTCTAAAAACGGTTCGAGGGCAACTGAAGTTTAAGGGATAGTACACTCGGACGTGTGCGGTCCTATGCGTGTACCCTCTGTTAGTAAGAACTTTTATTTTGTAACGTTTATTGACGATTTTACGCGCAAGACTTTTGTATATTTTTTACAACAAAAGAGTGAAGTTTTTGAAAAGTTTAAAGAATTTACAACTTACGCTGAAAATGAAACGGGCAAGAAGATCAAGATACTGAGATCGGACAACGGTACAGAGTATGTCAACAAGAAGATGGATGACTTCCTGAAAGTGAACGGGATTCATCATCAACTGACTGTTGACTACACGCCAGAACAAAATGGAGTCGCGGAGAGGTCTAATCGCACAATTTGTGAGAAGGCAAGGAACATGTTGCATGATTCCGGACTACCACAGCGGTTTTGGGCGGAAGCTGTCCATCATGCAGCATACCTGAAAAACAGGTCACCGACCATTGCGGTGAAGAATATGACACCAGAAGAAAAATGGAGTGGGAAGAAGTGTGATCAGAGCAAGATTAGGATCTTCGGATGCAAAGCATTTATGCATATTCCGAAACAGAAGCGGACCAAATGCGATGCAAAGAGTATAGAATTGATTCATACTGGATTCTGTGACAACGCAAAAGCATACCGCCTTGTAGAACCTGCAACAGGGAAGCAATTCAAGGCTAGAGATGTAGTATTCCCGAAAAACTGTAAATATACAGACTCGGAACCATCAGGAGCATCTGAAGTGGAGTTTATGATGTTTCCTGAAAATGAGCAAAGAAATGGAATTGTCGATTTACACACGCCTCCAGAACCAGATGCCAACGGAGATCACAATAGAAACTTGGATGTGGAAGTGACAGAGTTTGAATCAGAAAACCCGACATCCGAAGGAGATTGTGGTGGCTCAATATTTGAAATAGAGGAACGTGATGTAACAGATATTGAACCAATTATCCTGGAACCAGAACCTGAAGTCGCAGGACCAGATGCTGAAATATTTGAAGACTGCGAATCAGTTGACGTTCCTGAAAATGTTCAACAGGAAAATGAAAGGAGATATCCACTGAGGGATAGAAAACAAAAGGAGTTCCCTGACTACATCTTATATCAAGCTGAAGTGGAACGAGATCCATTGATAGTGCACGAGTCACTATCAAGATCAGACAGCGAAAAATGGAAACAAGCAATTCAAGAGGAGCTTGATGCTCTGAAGAAAACTGGGACATGGACTCACGTAAAGCCGCAAAAGTCGTCCAACGTCGTTGATTCTAAATGGCTATTCAGAATCAAAGAAGAGGCGGGAAATAGACACAGATATAAAGCACGACTTGTTGCAAGAGGATTTAGTCAACGATATGGAGTAAATTATGATGAAACCTTCGCACCAGTAGTGAGACACAGTTTTCTACGAGTACTTATTGCTCAGGCTGTGAAACAAGGTTTAAGCATTGATCAAATGGACGTGAAGACAGCATTTCTAAATGGGGAACTTGATGAAACTGTCTACATGAAACAACCGGAAGAATTCGAAGAAAAAGGAAAGGAAGATCATGTTTGTCTACTGAAACGTTCATTATACGAATTAAAACAAGCTCCAAGAGCGTAGAATACTATACTCAATCATGAGTTATTAAAGTTGGGATTCAGGAGATCTAAAAATGAACCTTGCGTGTACACTAGATCTAAAGGAAATGTAATCATATTAGCGGTTTATGTCGATGATATGTTAATTTTTTGGAATGATGAAGATGAACTACGCAAAGTTAAGAGGGATCTTATGTCAAAGTTTGATATGAAGGACTTGGGTAAAGTGGAACTGATCCTGGGAATGCAGATTACTCAAAGTGATTTAGGGATCAAAGTGGACCAATCAAAGTATATCAACAAGGTGTTGAAGAACTTTGGAATGGAAGACTGCAAGCCAGCTGCTACACCTGCGGTTACAGGTTTAAATCTAAGCAAGCCTGGACCGGAATATAGACCTGATCCTGACGTGCCCTATCGGAATGTGATAGGCTCATTAATGTATTTGGCTGTATGTACAAGACCAGATATAGCATACGCTGTAAATTATTTAAGCCAGTTTTATAGCCATTATGCTGAAGAACACTGGATGGCTGCAAAACGTGTGCTAAGATATCTTCAAGGAACCAAACACTATGGACTTATGTATAAGAGAAGTGTATGAGATGAAATACATTGTTATGCGGATGCAAGTCATGCTTCCTGCTATGATAAGAAGTCATATTCAGGAGCAGTATTTATGCATATGGGAGCTGCTGTCAGCTGGGAAAGCAAAAAGCAGAAGACCGTTGCATTATCAACAGCTGAAGCGGAATACATTGCAATGTCTGAAGCCGCTAGAGAGGCAATTTTTACAAAAAGATTTGTGACTGAAATAATTGGTAAGGAGGAGATGCCAATTAATATATTCAGTGACAGTCAATCAGCCATTGCAATCGCACACAATCCTGTGCATCATTAGCGTACAAAACACATTGCAGTACGTCATCACTTTATAAGGGAAGCAGTTGAGCATGGGTATATTGAGTTAGAATATGTACAAACTGAACGCATGGTTGCTGACTCTTTGACTAAACCTTTGTTGAAAGGTAAGTTTAAGTGGTGTACGTCAAGTATGGGTGTTGTATGAATGTTGTATGGGTATGATATGAGTGTTGTATGAATAGGTATGGAATAAAAGAGATAAAATTGAGGAGGAGTGTTAGAGCAAGGAGTTTTTACTCATGTATAAAATACTTTTTTAGAATAATTTTACTCTTCTGATTTATTAGACACAATGTTTATTTTTGTGATTAGCTGTCCATGCCTATTGTTATTTTTACTTCACTTCTATTTTGATGTTCTTGCAAACTATAAATAAAATTCATAAAATCTTTATTTAACGTGTTTGCATATGCATAGTATCCACTTTAAATATATTTGAAACATTGGTGGCCCAGAATTGGGGTTTACCAATAGTATGATAAAATTATTTTGTAATTGACATAGATTTATGTATTAAGCATACTTGACTTATTATTTTTGTAACATATAAATGAATTCGAATTTTGAAATTACTACCATTAATTATTTTTAAACTATAAGACTGAAATAATATATAAAAGGAACTGAATCAAATGTTTGAAGTTAATGATGTGTAAATAAAATAATATTAAGTTACCTTAATATTATTTTATTAATAAAAATTTATATCTAAGTAAATCTTAGTAAATTTATATATCTTATTTTATGACATCTGTTACGCCATTTTTATGCAATAAATGATTGATTGATTAAATGGTGTCAAGAAAGTAAATTCAGTGCGGCAGTGTGCATATGCGGCGACTAAGCGGTGGCTACTACATGGATACTACATACGTAGGGTGGCCGAGCTTGTATATCCGTGTCGATCTCGAGGGAGACCGTGTTTCTGCTGCCGTTATCGTCTGCATTCTCCTTATACGATCTGATCTGATTCCCTATGGATGTAATTAAATCAAATCGTATCAAATCAAACGAATGGAAGGTTTTCCGTCTCTTTATAGTTCATGTTCATCGACCAAGTTTTGACAGTAATTTTCGCTTTAAGTAAGGAGACGTTATCTGCGGCATTTATGATCCTATTGTAGCACTAGTGAAAGCAAAAAAAAGGGAGACGTTGAGACGGACGAATCCAACATGAATACAGGTAAGGGATCTTAAAAATATTTTTATTGTGTCATGCTGGGTATAAAATATCGCATGATATTACTTAAGAACGTACTAGTGAATGTTAAAGCACAGTACGCACCGCCCTAATGTCGTGTTGTCAAAATTGCAAAATACCGTGTTGGTCTGTGGAAATACGATTTTACGCTTGTGATTTGTTTCGTCAAAATTATTAGTTAAAACTATAATTGCATTTGAAACATGAAAGAACAGAGTTCTGATACAGTTTGAGTATGTAATGTGTTAAATAAAAATACACCTTTGATTTGTTTTGTGCGTAAAATATTTAAAAAATTGTTCGTAATCATGGATGGAACTTGGGTTCTTATTTTGCTAGCTTTGGTAATGTTAATTGGGTCATATGTGGCTGGAAGTATACCCCTAAATGTGAATATGTCTGAGGTAATATAATAATAATAATATTTTAATTCAAACGTATTTTATTATGAAACTTTCTTACTGATATTCTAATACATCTAACATATGTTTATTTGGCTCTTTCGCTTGTTTTACCAAATTTAATTAGATTATTGTCTATTAATCCGATATTTATTGTACCTTTATAAGACTTTTGGTCATTGTGTCTGTCTTTGAGAATCTATAAAGTGCTTCTATCAAATATATTTTTTATTTCGAAATCTCATTCAAATACATAATTTTTTATAAGGAGTTGAAAAGTTGCATAGTTTTATTGTGAAACTACCTATCAAGTATAATCTTAAAATGAAATCTAACAATTTAAATGCAAATCCTTTATTGGTTAATTATGCAATGTCTCAATTCTGTTAATATAAATGTGTCTTTGCCATTGGTATTTTCTACCTTAATTAAATGTGACATATCAATATTTATTGAATTTTGAGTTCTGTTGAAAATAGAATAGTTAAGGTGAAATCTTGCTGAAATAAAATGGGTGTACAAAATGATGTTATGTGAACTTATAATTTTTTTAGGATAAACTCCAAAAAGTCACAGTGTTCGGAGCAGGTTTACTTGTTGGTACCGCTCTAGCGGTGATTATACCAGAGGGTGTTCGTTCACTATTCAGTGAGAGATCTATGCCGACAATTGTTACTAAAGACTACACAGCAGAACCGCCAGGCCATGACGATGATCTTCATTCAGTCATTGGAATATCATTAGTTTTAGGTGGGTTGGTCAGAATTGTTTCTTAAAAATTCTGATAAATAATATGGTGTCTAACTAACATGACGTGATGAACATCATGTGATTGAAGGAGAAAATATATTTTTGTACCATGTTGTGTTGCTGTTTTTATTGTCATATATTGTTTCTTACATGAGATTGATACCAATATATTTCTGTAGCAAAACAATCTTGCATTCTAATGTGAAACCATGCTAAATGTATGAAATCAAATAGTTCTGTTGGAAGACCACATGACACAAGACAATAATGTTTTTCTAGCCTTTCATTTTATAGTATTCAGTACCTGTATTTTTTAAAACCATTTATGGAAATTTAAGAAAAGTTCTGTTTTGTTATGCTTAAAGTTTGTTTTTATTCAAGGATTCGTGTTCATGTTGCTGGTTGATCAGATGTCGTCGAGATTCAACGATTCCACCAACCCAGTGGAGAAAAATGTCACAGCTACTGTCGGCCTAGTAGTGCATGCGGCTGGTATGTTTTGTACTGGAACATGTATACAATACTTAGAAGTATTGTATGGTCTGTTCCTCTAATAAAAAAAAGGCAGGGCTCTCAACTTATTTTATGTTGCGGTCTTTTAATTTATTTTTACTGATGGGTAGAAGAAAATCACGATGAGTGCACGATGATGGCACTAAGTAACAGTTACAATGACGTCGGACTTTGAAATGTCAAATGGCCGACGGTCAGTACGAAGATTACATAAACAAACGATAATTTCAACGAAACATCGTAATTTACTCAGATTCTATTTGATCCAATAAATCTATATTGACGATATTTTTTTTCTCATCTGTAAATCTGTAATGCAATCAGTAAATTTTAGTTAGAACACACAGACTTTATCAGGGCTAACTTTACAGGAAATAAATAACGCATTTCATATAGGTATATTGCATTTATGACTGCAGTGTCATTCTTGTAAAACATTCAGTTCAACTTTCAGGTAAAACATGGACAAATTAATTATAAGAACTGTATTCCGAACAATCGCACAACATTGCAACTACAAACAAACATAAAAGTAAATAATTGGTTTTGTAAAAGTAAATAAATAATTTGTTGGCGATGTAAAAAGATTCATGTGTTAAACTCATTTCATCATTTCAATTGTTATAGAATAAAACACTTTTCGTCGTAATTCTACTATCATTGTTGTGTTTTTTTGCGATACCAATACTTATTCGTCGATTTATTGAAACCGGTAAAACATTGCTGTTCCAAAATGTCAGGTGTTATTATGTGGCGGTGGCAAAATAAAAATATTATCGGTAACACACACTCAATCTCTTCTTTCAGCAATTGTAATACATTATTTAGTTACATAATTTTCTCTTTAAAGTAAATATACAAAATATTATCAGTATACGATAATTTTTCTAGTAAAAAAAAAAAACAGTTCGTCGAACCGCAGTTTCTTTTTCCGCCCTCTTGGCACCCAGCGAATATTAGGAATTCAAAATAGTTATTATTTTTACTGACAAGTAATAATAAAATACTATGACATTAACACTATTATGAATTACAATATCTAAAATGGAATATTATTTTTAAAAATAATAAGAGAAAGACAAATCTTTCTCCTATTTTCAAGTTCTCGCGCTTGACAGCACCTGCATGCCCCGTATAAACATAAAATTTAGCGCGTTATCGTTTTGAGGCCGTCAAAACTCGAGGTAATTAAAAGATTTATAGTTTGACTCGTAAATGTGGAAATGTAATTGTTAATGTGCTCTTTTTAACCTTATGATGAAAGAAAATATTTCCGTAGTAGATGAAACGAAACTTGGCAATCGTCTTTGTACGGTCCGAATCGCATTGGGGTAGTGCAGCGAACCGTCATCGAATAAGGGTAACTTTTGAAAATATTTACCAACCTCGCAATTTTTATCCTGACTTTATTTTAAAACTTTATTACATGATATGAAAAAGTAAAAATAAGGTATATTTTGAGATATATCACATCACTAGACGCATCAGTAAATTATTTGGTCAAAATCTTTCAGTTTTTTAATATGTTAGTTAAAAGGATCGGAAATGACTATTTTTGGTCCATTCATTTCCTGCAAAAATCAATTTTTACTAGAGTCGTCATCTAGTGAGGTGCTTTTAGTGCTTTATTTTTTTTCTTTAAATACTTCCTGATTATGAGTGAAGCGTTGAATAAATTACTTTTTATTTGATACAAAGAAAAATGAAAACTAATATAAATTTAAGTGAGTATAGAGATCGGTTTTTAAAAGCTATGGAAATCTAAAGAGTATTGCCGAGAAATGAGGAATTATTAAAAAAACATTAGTTCCCGAAATCAAACTAGATGTCGCTACACTGTCGATGTACGTTCTTGATTTCTCCATGACAACTCGTCCGGTTTTCTTTCATGTTTAAAAGTAAATTAGTTTTCAAAACTCAATAAACAACTCATATTCTATTTGTATTGATATCTAAGTTTCGAACTTCTCAAATTTCTAATATATTAGTTAAAAGGAACGGAAATTACTGTCTTTGGTCCATTCTTTTCCTGCAAAAATCAACTTTTGATAGAGTCGCCATCTAGTGGAGGTGCTTTTTTAGTGCTTTCGTTTTTTTTAAATACTTCCTCATTATAAAAAGTAGCATTTCTATACGGTATATAATAATTATATTACCGTGACATAGCTTCTTTTTAAATAAAATACATATGGCGTAACAGGTGTAGGCATTTTTCATTTTAATATTTTTTCAAAATTTTGAAAACAATAACAACTAGGTAAGTTAGTTTTGTTGTTGTTAGTTGAACTAATGGCAACAAAACTAACAATTAATATTTTTTATGTTTGATGAATAAATGAATAGGTTTTATTAATGAGTAACAATGGTCAGAAAAAAGCTATAATTATAAGATCAGGACATCTTTTATGTATGTATAAATTAGTCACCCAGTCTAGTTATATAGATACTGTATGTTTTCCAAAGAAAATAAAATAAAAATAGATAAGATTAAAAAAAAATATCTATTACAGGCATGTCTGTGATATGCATTGCCATATTGTTACTGAAAGCAATCTGAAAGCAAAAAATCTTTTATCTTATCTAAGATAAAGCAATTGAAAAGTTTGAGTAATGATAATTTGTTATCACTTCTTCTTTTTCATATAAAGTTATTATGAATAATATTACTAAAATAATTTATTAAATTAATTATGTATGCAGTTGGGCATTATGCATAATATCTAGCAATTGCATTATAATTGCAAATATAACATTGACTATATCTCATAGGTAGCATGCATTTAAATCCTGTTAAAAGAAAAAGTGTAAAAAAAAATCAAAACAAATTTCTTATCACAAAACGAAGCCATGCGTTGTATTTATAAAACGTTTTTCTTTAATGATTTCAACATGCTGATAAAAATATTATAACTATGAATAGAGTGCATAGTGATTATTTCCTGAGCAATAAAGTTTATTTTCGCTGTTTAGGCAACATTTTTGTTGTATAAATGGCATTTATGTGTAATAATCTGGTGATAAAAGATGTTATTGCTCTACTCTATGTATAAAATAGTTAAATCGAAACACGGGAATATTCCGTATATTTCTTTATAAGTATTTTTCTATAAGATACATATCAATAGAAATCCTAATGAACGCATAAAATTATCAAATATGAAATTGTCATTAAAACACAAAAATTTTCACCTTAATCGAAAGTGGCTTCTTAATATCCGAGGTCTTGGGCTCGATTCTCGGTAGAGTCATTGTAGAAGATGGTCTTTTCTATATGGTCTGAGATCTGGGTGTGGTTGTACCTTAGTTGTTTTGGATTTCATAAAACGAGTGCTTAAAACTAATCAACTGGAATCCGTGCTTGCAAAATTAGTCAGTCCTGTTGGGTCTCGGGCAGCTCAATGGTCTAAGCAATCGCACGGTTGCGAAAAGTTAGAGCACCTAAGACTGGTTAATTTTTAAATTATTTTCCTAGAAGGTTTATTTAGTCCTGAGCCCTTGCAGTGGGACATAAAAGGGCTGGCGATGATGATAAATATTAAAGCAGTCTAAAAAAATATTGTATGCTTTTGGTACAACAGCAGTGTAGGTAGTAGGTATATTTATACCTTACATGCTTACATACTTCGACTTCTCCACTTACAATCTGATTCTGACATTATTTTATTATTACAACCGATTTGATTGAAAAATATAGTCTTCAACTTTTTATGTCATAATTGATTTTTGTTCTAGCTGACGGGATTGCTTTAGGCGCTGCTGCGACCACGTCACACGCGGATGTAGAACTGATAGTGTTCCTGGCCATCATGTTGCATAAGGCACCTGCTGCGTTTGGACTTGTCACTTTCTTATTGCACGCCGGTTTGGATAGGTAAGATACATCTTTATATATTGTTTAGATTTGCAGACGTTCCCAAACTATTAGCGTGAGAGACCCTAAAGGGAACTGACACCTCAGACCCCTCAGCCAAATGACTTCGAAACTTTTATCTCTTAAGTTTTCTCTTATTGAGGCGCATTAATTTCCAATTTAAACATTTTATGCTTGTTAAAGTGGGTTAATTTCATATAATTTTCTCATAATAATTTAACCAAATAAATAAACGTAACTAGCTGTTTTCCCCGAATTTGCTCCCGTATATTATATACTTAGTCTACGTCACCCGCATATGATGTAGCTTTATTATAGGTGATTTTTTAGAATAATTTTTAAAATGCTCATGTAGAGTCGGAGCCTATTCGATGCAAACAAACAAATCTTTCCTCTTTATAATATTATTATATAATATTAATATTGCCAGTTTTTAAGCCCTCGCCCCACCTATGTTCACTCTGTTCGATCCCGTCTGTTTGATTAATGATGATGAGTAAAGGGAATATGGGCAAAAATAAAGTATTTTTTATTCGCTTTAAAAATTGCAATCTTAAGTTTGGGGTTTTTTGTTATTTTACGTAAGAACTGTCGAGAGTAAACCCTAGAGTAAGTAAGAGAAAATAGATGGCCCCTTATATACCTAGAATATAAAAAATAGAAAGCTAATCTTGTGTAAATGTGAATAGGGGTCGTAAATTGTCGACCTTTGGGAAACTCATATCGCTCTCCAAGCAGTCCACTTTGGGCCTTATCGGTCACTTTGGGTATCACAGATGTTATAGAGTTACTTTGTTTAATTACTTGGAAAGGTAAAGTTTCTTCAATCCATATTAAGCTCTAATATGTTGATTGTTAATTTCAAAATTTATTAATTATGACTTTTGCTACCACAAGATTACAAATTCAACCCTGTCAGTTTGTCACTTTTAATTTAAATATTAGCTTTGTGTAAAGATTTTTGATCCTGCCAATTTATTGAATTTTTTGTCTGTACTAATATTTAAAAAGGAAAGATTAGATTGTATATTTATTTACATCGAACAGTCTTCAAAACTAATGAACCGATTCTAAAAAAAAATTCACCTACAGGAAGAAAGTAGAATAGATAAATACGAAAAAGTAGAATAGAATACGAGTTGTTTATTGAATTTTGAAAACTAATTTACTTTTACATTTAAAGGAAAACCGGAAAGGTTGTCATGGAGAAATCAAGATATATACCGTAGCGACATCTAGTTTGATTTCGGGGATAAATGTTTTTTTTTTAAATACTTCCTCATTAGAATAAAATTGAAACTATGAGTGCTAATAGAAGAAGATTGGAAAGGTTATAATTATTTTTGTTTTGTGCAGGAATCGGATTCGTAAACATTTGTTGATATTCTCGTGTTCGGCCCCCCTTCTTGCCATGTTGACGTACTTCGGTATTGGCAATGAAAGCAAACAGACTCTGAGCGATTTCAACGCCACTGGTGAGTATGTTTTTTATTAGTAAAAATTATGTTACAGTAAAACATTATTGTTGTATCTAGGGTGGGTGCGCCAGTTTCACACCAGGAACACTGTTTCAGTATTCGAACCTAACAATTAATGTTTTTTTAAATTTTCCACCTTTTTTTTACGTTTGGTAGCATTGTTGGTATTTGTACTGTTTATGTGATCGTAACTAAAAGCGATAAAGCCATCTAAAACCTGAATGTCTATCGCAATCCCTTTCGAAAGTTTTAGACGCAAATATCTTTGAAAGCTATTGAGAAATGTTAAACAAATCTTACAACTGGTTTAGGTAAGTTTTTAATTTCGCAGAAGTTAAAATTTGAAATCGAATTCTATCCAATAAGAATTAATCAAGTAGCGCCCTCCGTCGATTGCGAGTAAGACTGAAACTTGGTGCGTTATATTTTCACTTTACACTTAAGAAAGTGAAAACTAAATATATAATTATTAATTAATATTTTTCAAAATTAAAATTAGGGACGAATGTGAATTTAAATAAAATTTTATGAATGTAAGATATTGAGGAAAGTGAAGATATAGAAGATTTTATTTAAAGCATTTACTATTTACAATGAAATTTTAATTTTAATTTAAATTTGCTACACCCTTACAGGGTGTCACATAAACTGTACCTAATAATAACACCTGTATTACTATGTGACATGCAATAAATGAATTATTATTATTATTATAATGAAATTTTAAAGTACCTATACATTCAGCCTTCATAGGGTTGTAGGCCAGTAGACCTACCGCATTTGATTTGGTTGGCATTGGGTTCAATCAAAATACAATTGACTTTCTAGCGAACTAAAGCGTAAAGAAGTGGTAACAGCTTGTAATCTATCTAATAATTGATACTCAATTTGTCTTTCTTTTTTCAGGTATAGCTATGTTATTCTCGGCAGGTACGTTTTTGTACGTTGCAACTGTACACGTGTTACCAGAACTCACACACAAACATTCCCACACTCACACACTCTTACCCGTCCAAGAAGGTGTGTTACCAAAAAAAGGTTTTGGTGGTTTGCAATTCTGCGAAATGTTAATATTAACTGTTGGTGCCCTTTTACCATTACTATTAACTATGGGGCATAAGCATTAATGCTATTAATGTGATGTTAAAAGTTAGTACAGCACAAAATTGACGTAACGTGAAAATAACATTATCGTTATAACGTTCTTTACAAAACTATGATTATGTTTAATAAAAAGGCAAAAAATATACGTCATAGTGCAGCCAACAGCACGTCGGGTTATACAAATCTTTCAAATTTTATCTCCTGATTTTAATCTTTAAGGATTATTAAGAATAGAATTGAAAATCGATAGTGAAATTTTGACATATTATGGTAAAATAAAGTATTGCCGTTTGTACCGTATAATCAGGCCTTCTTTAAGATTAAGATATATTATGGGCAAATATTTGGTTTATAACTTCGTCGTAAAGCCGCGTTTATATATAGAACTAGTCGCGTGTCGTCACGCTTTTTAACGTAGAATTGCTAGTTGTCAATTGTTCTATTTTGTCAGGGCATGTTCTGATTTTTTAAAGTATGCTAAAAAATGTCCTGAATAGTTTTTAACCAGCATCTTGGTATGTAAAGTGTCGTTCTGGATTTTTAAGTATTTACAGTATTAATGTAGTCAGTCCTATATTAAATATAGGTAACTGATTTCTTAATTCACGCGTGGCGATATGCTGTACACGCGGCGCGGGTTAGAATTAATTACGGCTTAATACATCTTAGAGGAATACAGTGATATAACACGATAAGCATTTTTTTTATAAGCGAATGTCTGTATATTTTGTTCAATAAAAGTGCTGCTTTTTTGTATACATAAAATGTATTTTTTTGTTATATATGTGTCAATATTGATTTATTTATATGTAAATTTTTATTTAGTCATCAGCGCCTTAGGTTATATAGAACTGGGAAATATCTTTAATATTTTTTTTTTGCATTTTAGTAGCTAATTCAATCGGTTGCGAAAATAATATATTTTAGTATGCCTGAAGTGCTGCTGTGTTCCTGAAGTTATGTTTTTAAATTGCTAAAATTTTATTTATAATAACCAGTGTTTATACTATATTATGAGTATTGTGATTTTGAATTTAAAATACCGAAATTATCGATATCGAAACATTACTATGATTGCCCCATTAAAGTGCCAAATGTAATGCACTAAGGCATTCCAAATTCACAAATCATTTATATAATATCAAATAATAGGTAATAAGAAATAATTTTTGATGTAATAAAATTTCACATACTTACTAAAATAGTGCCAACGAAAAATATAAAGCAATAAAAATACAGAATAAGACAGATTAAAATTTCACTATATTTTGGTGATATATTATGTTAAATCTATATTATACGGTATTTGCAAGATGTGAAATTCTGTGATTTCTCCTATTAATTAAGTGTTTATGTAATCGTTTTGGTTAAATATAGTAAGCAATTCATTACAAAAACTATCAGTTTGATATAGTTGTCATTTGCAGCACGGGTGTATTTTCAATATCACAGATACATTATCGTATTTTTCAATAAGGTGGTGGTGCCTAAGATGTCCACAGTATTCTGTTTAAATTAACGCATCGTAAAATCGAACTAAAAACGTTCAAATTTGCAGTGAGAATGTACTATGAACTTGTTAACGCAAGAACTTGAGAAAAAGCGGCAGAAATTCATTAAAAGAACTTTCATTACGATGACGTACACATTTTTAAATAATCAGCTATAATTCAAGGTTTGGCTTGAAGGTGCTAATGTATATATTGTATAATGGACTGCCTTTCTTCAGTATTCCGGTTTTTTCAGTCTCTTCAGAATATGTAGTGCTAGGTTAATATCAAGAGAGTACTGCCAAAGTAATTCCGATTTCTTCATCACATTTTTATTTAAAAGTCCCAAGATTTATACAGCAACCGCTTGAGTAGTGGCATCGGGTCACTACTTACAAAATTGCAGTCGAAATTTATAGTAATCGGTTTTTAGGATTGGGTCTTTTTTAAAAGGCGGCCATCATAGGTGCCATTATCTTACTTTAACATTGTATTTCATAGAACAAATTTAAGTTAAAAAGCTAATATGAAACGGACAAAAATTAATGTGACTATCTATTTACTACTACGTAAGATACAACTAATGTGGCTCACGGATCTATAAAATTGAGGGATATGTATAGCCTGGTGTGTTGACTACACCTCAGGCTATACATATTTGTAAATTTTTTCCACTTGATTTTAAACTTTAATGCTTTGATGGTATGTTAAAATGAACTGGAGAAATTTGAAATATTGTGGTAAGTATTGTGTTGTTACGCAGGTGCGCAGAAGGTTAAATTTCTAAATACAAAAATCTCTCAAACATAATGTTCAAGCATCACGCCATCTGGCGATATCCACCAATATCCAAGCGCCCTGACCTCTGGCTAGTGTGTTTGACGGACACCAAAATTTTACACCTTATGATTAATGTAACAGGATTCATTATAAATTTTAGTCGTATCTCGTTTTATCGTTGGTAGGTTTGTTCACCATTCGCCTTATTAGTTGTATCTAGTTTCCGACTAAAGGTCTATTTTTGGCCGAAGCCGAAGCCGAAGCCGATTAATCGGCAATCGCCACAACCTTCGGCAAATGCCGAAGCCGATGGTTTATAATTTCTCAGTAATTAATTTTGTTCAATATTGTCTACAAGCTACAATTAATATTAAAATTATTTCACAACTTCAATATTGAAGGTTATATTGACTGTCTCATATAGAAGTTGATTTAGAAATACAGATTTGACAGTGAAGGCGCTTGTGCACTACACTTTTTCCGGCCTTATATGTCAGGCCATATGTAGGTAATGCTAGCCTGTGCCAGGAATATTTTTCCTGTCTTCTACGTCTTCGCACGTACACTAATAGAGCAAGCAATTACCAACGTTTCAAAAATCTCCTCGTGCCTATTGTAAGTGACGTGTAGCTTCACAGAGAGCTACCCTAAAATGTGCCGCTCCGATCCGGAAAAAAACGGACATGTGCACAAGCTACTCATCCGAGTTTTTCATGTCATTCGGGACCGGAAAAAGTCGGCCCGCCGGCCCTGAAAATTCATTGTAGTGCACAAGCGCCCTGACTCCCTGCGGCCTCTGCCAACACGACCGGTCCATCGTTCTCTCACTCAGTTTTCGAAACAGTTCATTCAATCTCGACGGTAGCTCGGACCTTCGGCGAAACCTTCGGCTTCGGCCTAGTTTTGGGCCGAAGCCGAAGGTTTCGCCGAAGATGGTTTTTTTGGCCGAAGGTGCCCGATGCCGAAGCTGAAGCCGAAGCCGAAGCTTCGGTCGGACACTAGTTGTATCTTACTGTTATGTAATTTGCGTGATGCTTTCTGTTTTAAATAAAAAAAAAAAAGAATTTGAAGTTTTAGCTCAATTTAGTATGGTAAATTTATTTATAAGAAAAGTATTGTGTAAATTCTTTAATAAGATCATGAATTGTTTTTGCTACAGAGACGAAATTATTATTCTTAGTTTAACAGATCTCAAGCGTTTTGATTTAAATGAAGGCAATATCAATATCGGCTCATCTAAAGTTTACAGGTTTCATGTTTTCTTATCGATTTTTTTATATAATAATACAGACAATGTATTTTTGTTGTTGTTGTTTTTATTATAAGTTTATAAATAAAATATTGTATTTTTAATGCAAGCTTTTTACATGAATACAGCGTTTTTTAAAACAATTTGTGTGAGTTACTATTAATTTGTAAGAGTAGTCGATACGTCATTAGGTTATTGAATCTGCCAATCATCACCATCGTGCCAGACACACATCGCTTTCGTAAAAGTAACATTAGGTGTGACAGCGAGCGAAGGGAGAAGGAGCGTGTTGGGTTGACTGTGAGCAAACCAGAATCGACCTCATCAGGCCCGTCTTAAGCACAAAAGCGCTCGGCTGCAAGCAGTGCTCTGGCGCCCCCCACCTCTCGCCAATTACAGGGAATTTCTCGATGATCATCGGTGCGGCACCCCCCTAACGCGCGGTGCCCGGAAGTGTTGCACCACCCACGCCATGGGTAAAGACGGGCCTGGACTTAACTAAATAACACATTTGGTAAACAATAAATAAATTAGTAAAAAATTATAATGACTTAAACATATTGCTACTTGGAAGTTTGCATTTTGAAAACTGTCATTTTAAAAAGCATACCAATGTCCAGTTGGTAACGATGAGGTTGGGAAGTAAAACAACATTTTATGATAAGTTGGCAAATAATTATTCGGCGAAATAAAATTCTACGAAACGTTAGTTGGTAAATCAAACAATTTTCAGCGAAAAAGCAGAGAACAACTTCCAAAGTTTTACATCATTTTCTGTAGACAATAAATATATTCTTTTTATGGAATGATTGCGTTTACACAATTCCACCAAAGTCACGTTGGTGGCATTTACAAGTAAAGAGATGATTAAAAAAAATATTTTTGAGATAGTGTAAAAGAATCTTTACATTATCTCAAAGTATGTTTGGGATTAAGTTGATGGGCTGTGTTGTTTAGGGTTTAGGGCATATAAATAAATTTTTGTACAATAACTTGTATACAGTGAGATGCAACTGATGTAATTCAAGTATAGCGTCACCAGTATCCTGACCCCTGCTGAATGTGAGTGAAAAGGAAACCTAATACATTAGATTTTACACCTTAGTGATTGAAATAAGACTACTAATACATTTTAATTGAACGTTCGTCGTACATCCGTTCTGCGCCATATGCCGTGATTAGAAGTTATTGTACATACTTTAATATTGTATTTTTCGAAAGTACTCAATTTTATTGTAAATAATTTGTAAACGTTTATAATATTTGCGTCTATCGGTGTATATATATTTGATATAATTTATAGTAATAAAAATCGCTTCTATAATATTAGATTTTTTTATTTCTATAAAAACAATTAATCTTATACCATTTGAGCAATTATCATTATACATAAATAATTTCAATTGTTAAAACCTAGTTAAAATAATCAGTATGTAGTACTAAATAATTTCTATTGTCTGTTACAACGAAGTTCATTAAATAAAAAGGTTTAATATATGTAATAGATATTTTTTCTAACGAATCGTACTATTAGTTTAAATAAATCAATCCGTTTAAGCTTAAAATTTGTAAATTATCAAAACATTTTTACTAACTTGCTTTCGTATTAATAACCTTATACGTTTTCTTTATGTCAAGTGCATTTATCCCATTTTATGCAGCTTGATGTAAAATTAGGATTTTCTGAAGTCTTATCACTATTGGCTATGAAATTTTTATGAAATATTTACTTTAAAAATCTTAAGAAAACAATATGTTTAAGTTATTTTGTCGTCTGAAGAGTGAGTAAAGAAAATTTTAATATAGAAACAAAAAAAAACGGTATTATAATTTTTGAAATCTCAATGTTAATATTGGTAAATTTAGGTGAAAATATTCTACCTATATTTACTAAATAATCATCTTACAATTGAAATTATCATCTTATAAAATTATCCGATTTTTTCAACAACTTCAAACGTACTAAATTAAATTTGAAAATAAAGAGAAATTTAAGAGGATATACTATATTATTTAAACTATTATAATAAAATTGAAGTCAAGAATAGATTGTCTAAATCTCCCTTTTACCTGCGCAGAAGGTTTGTTTAACAGTACAAATAACAGTAGTTTACATTAAATAATATTTACTAAGGATCATAAATACTTATTAAAATCTCTAAAAGTAGCTCGTTGGCGTAGAGGATAAGCGCCGCGGCCCGCGATTGTTGTTAAGCAACTTTCGCAAGGGTCGGTCACGGGATGGGTGACCAAAAAATTATTATCTCGAGCTACTTCGTGCTTCGGAAGGCACGTTAAGCCGTTGGTCCCGGGTGCATTTGCAGTCGTTAATACCCTCCAATCCGCATTGGGCCAGCGTGGAAGGTCATGGCACATCCTCCTTAACCATCCATAAAGAAGGCCTGAGCCCCTGCAGTGGGGACGTAAAAAGGGCTAATGATAATGATGATGATTAAAATCTCTACAAAGTCAGTGTTATTAACCAAATAAAAACAATCGTTATAGAATCCTTACTCGACCAACTAGGCTAATGAGTACAAGTACAGTGTTGCCAATATAGTAATTAATTTCATATCATTTCGTTGCCTAATAAAATAATTTCCTCATAATAATTTATAAATATTTCAAATGTCACATCACAGTTGTATAATAATATTGTCTTAAAGTATCAAATGGCTTATTATAATTATAACTAATTAAAATATACAATTTTAAAACGGCCTTTCTTTCCCTATACGTGTACAAGCGAAAATAGTCCTTTCAATTGCATTATTATAAGCTTTTGAGGTTCATTTAATCTTTAGAAACTTATGATTTAATTAGCTTTATTTTTTTATTTATGTAACATTTGAATGTTTTACATTTCTCTATGATTGTCAACCAAATATGGCGGTGAAAATTGGCCTCAATACAAGATACGCCAAGTTTAAGATTAATGCTGCCATAAGGGTCTTCAGCATTTGGTGTAGGTAGAACAACCTGAAATTAAACAAAAATACACTGAAAAACCGTTGAAATTATACAAATGTTAAATTAAAGATAACTTAAATTTTGGTACTTAAGTGTCGAAGTTTAATATTTTTTGCATTAAGTTACCTGTTCCATTTTTTTCTAGCCTCGGGTAGAGTTGAAAGGTCGTCTTTTATCAGATAAACTCTTAATCCTGAAAAAATAAGAAATAATCTATTATCAGCGTGTCCGTCAGTTTGACAGCATCACCGTCTTGGATTTCAAAATGAATTCTTAACTTAATCATTTACGAAATAGCTTTGGAGGTTAGAGGTGCTGACGTCACTCTCGCAGCGCCACAAGTATTATCTTCTAGAAATTAAACTTTTTATAATGTTATATTTGATTAATTTTACATTCTATTGGGTTTGGGTATTGCGTTACCTTCGTGGTCTCAGACACTACACAATACGAGAGCTTTAGCTTATATTAGTTGTCTAATATTTAATACAAAAATAATAAGAGATAAGACGGAGAGCTCGTGATAAAAATACGTTTCCAAAGTTTGAAGCCATCAGGTGTTTCGAGCACCTCCGTACCAAGTTACTGAGTGAAGTACTTCAACATAATAAATCTTTAGAAAGCTCTTGCACATTTTTCACATTGCTATTGTCTAAAGGAAAACGTTAAAAAGTAAAAAATATTGTTTACTCACCAAGCAAAAACGTCTCGCAAAGTCTGTCCCACGACATCTCACCTAAACTGAACGGGAATATTGCTTTGTCAGCCTCTGATAATGACGACCACATTGAGCGAACGTTACGATCGGAGAACTTCCAGTCTTGTGTTGAGAAGTAAAACAAAATATTGGCGAGCTTCGTTACTTTAGAGTAAAGTTTTAACATACTGAAAGATAAAAGATTAAAAATAATTATATGCTACGTTTGGGTCGGACATGTGGATTTTGCCGGATGAAATAATGACGCAACTGGTATAGGTATTTAAGTTGTACCAATACCAGTTGCGTACAGGGCAAAATTGGAAGGATGTGGAAGCCGGTGAGGCTAAGACACATCAAAGTCAAAGTACTTTAAAACAATATGATTATTTTAACTTATTTGGAATGCTGGATGAAATTAGTACAACACAAAAAGTAAATTTGGAAGGATGTGGAAGCTGGGGAGGATAAGACACTATTCACGGTCCCTAACCTGTAAGACTTGCCTATTATAGTGCTACTGGCATGAGATAGGAACAGAACGTGGAGTTCGATGACACTTAGTTTAGCGCGTTCAATTAACTTTCTTAACGGCCAGTCATGGGACGGTTAAGCTATTGGTCCCTGCACTTGCAGTTGTTAACAGCCACTAATCTGCACAGGGCCGCGTGGTGGGTCACGGTCCATTCTCCCTATTCGATTCTATCCATAATGAATGCTTATGCTCAGCAGCGGGTACATTAATATACTAATGTTAATGATGCATGAATGATTATGAATGTGAATGTCAAAGAAGCAAAAGATGTATGTAAAGATCATTCTATGTGGCCCTCAGTTCTCTATGTCTACTCAGCGAGGGAGCTGGCGTTAAGATATAGATTAAATATTGAACAAATTGATAAACTTACGCTCTTCGCCTGCCTGTGAGAGCGCAGTACATGTCTATAAAGAGAGCCGGCAGATAATGTAAAAAGAAATTGTAGAATAGGAACAAGTAATAATTGTTGGTGGGATTCAAACCATAATACCTGAAAACAAAAACAAAACATATATGTGATTCACAATGCTGAAAAATGCTTAAAAAAACCACTTTGTCCCTGGCACTCTGAGATGGGATTCGAACCCATGACTTTTCTTAATCCGAGCGACTGCTCTAACCACTGAGCTACCAAGGACCTTTTTTTGACGCTCAGAATTGTGTTACGCATACCCGGTCCCCCAGCGTGGGGTCGGCGGGTTATGTGGGCCTGCGGCCCCACCCCCGAAGAAGCTAGACAAGAAGAAGTTTACCCACTAAAACTCAGCAATGTCCTTCGCATGAGGGCGATGCACGGGACCGGCCATCGCGCGGTTCGTCCCTATTTCGGCCTCCCTGAAAAGGGGCAGGTCCTTCTTGATTGGGGGTGCGTCTCAGAGACATTCGAGACACACTCCCCAGACAGAACTACCCAGGACCCAACAGGACTGACGAATTTTTCAAGAATTTTTTGCTTTTTCGCTAATACAGCGTATTTTCATCAAGGGCAATCCACCCAAACAGCCGAAAGAAATATATTTACAAATATTTAAACTTTCTGTAAAGATGAAAATTTGTTCTAATTATTATATTTGATCAATGTCGTATTCATAATGCTATACTGAAAAATACTGAAAAATATTCTTAATGAAAAATTCTTGAAATTCCACTTTGGCACTGGTCATGGGTTTGAGTCTCATCTCAGAGTGCCAGGGACAAACTAATACCTACTTTCATTAAGAAAAAATATCTTCATATGTTTCTTTATAAATATTTAGTTTTCTTAATCAAGAAGGTTCCAAATGTATTGAATACTTTTTCTTACCATACAGCTTTAGTGGTGGGTTTATCGATGCCATATCTCCTATTGAGTTCTATGAATTGGCCCCATTTGATAGGATTCTGTGCTCCAGACACGAAATTGTAAATAGGTATATCGGAAGTTTGACTGCAAAAAAAATATATTGTAATAACCAAAACAGAATTTGTTTGCATTGTGATAGGTTTGAGCGCTTTCTACTTTCCCATTTCTTTTATTATAGCAGAGATAGACTAATCGGTTCACACTTAAAAATTCCGTCCCATATAAAGAGTAGGTTAGGTTTAGGCTAAATGAGTTTTTATTTAATTTCAGTAATTTAGAGAATGTAAAAGATGGCATAAAAAACCTTAAGGAATGTCAAGGCTCAAACTATTGAAGGGTTTTCATCAAAGGCATGACTGGCTAACTTTAGCCATTCTAGTCCAATGATACTATATCTTAGCAATGTTATTTTGATGTTTTGTGTGGTATTATTCTTTGACATGTACTTTAATGACGACGAACGAATGATAAAGAATTTAGTCGTTTATCCACCAAAAAGACATGGCGAAATAATAAAATCAAATGAAATATCGCCATAACAACTCTTAATATTAGGCGGTGCCACCCCGTGATCTAAAAAATGATTATAAAGATTAAAAAAACAAAATGACTGATTCAAATGATTAAGAAGAGATTCCATTTTTGATTCTTCGTGTTAGTCAAAGATAAAATAGAATAAAACTTACTTCACTTTGTAGTTTTTGGCGGTGTACCACGCGGATGCTAATATTGAGTTGACCACTAGATCAACGGGTACCATGTCGGCCACAATGTCCAGATCCATGTACATAGTTCTGAGCACCTGAAAACAGATATTTTAATAAAATTTGATTAATTTCGCATTTACAGTGCTATACTAAAACATATTCTTAATACAAACTCTTTAAAAAATCCACTTGGTCCCTGGCACCCTGAGATGGGAATCGAACCCACGTATAGTATCTTTTTATCAAGGTATAATAGGGTGTCACTGGGGTTGAGTAGATGCTAGATAGTTAACAGTATTACGTGAGTTGCATTTACGAGTATACTGTGTGTCAAATTCTTTTACTTGATTTAAAATTTAATGCATTGAGGGCAGAGTTGAAAATAAATTGCGATAATTTAACATATTGTGGTCACCTGATGTACATCTCCCTTTTGTAATCTTATAGAATTAGAGAAAACAGCTGAATAAGTTATTCATTGCGGCAGTCAAATGGCAGGTGTTGGTACAGTCGGCCAAAAATTTGATCTACCACTCTACGATTGAAGATCATTGGAATGCTTTTTGAACGCCATGTTACAACAAAGAAAATTTTTCTTTGTTATATATAATATTATAATAAGACACTGATTGTTATTTCAAATGTCAAACATGTCATATAAGTACAATACGTCAAAGAAGAGCCGACATAATAAGTAAATATTAAATAAAAATATTGACAGCATCACATACGTATACGAGTAGCTAAAAAAAAGCCAATACTATCGAACGAGACAATATAGAAAAGTATTTTCTACATAGATCGCACGGGAATCAAACCCGAGGCCAGAGATGCTGATATTGCGAACTCAAATTACCATAGAAATTGTAATCCAAACGGACAAAGTTGCCTACTAACACTAGTAAAAAAAAAATAGAAATGACAACTGACCCCAGTACCGATTCCAACCACCAGTCCTGTCGGCCCGTACACACTGTCCGTCCAGCCACGTATAGGCTCTTCGTATGTTGACACAACTGAATAGGACAACATTTAATTTATAACATAAAAATTAACATCAAGACAAGTATAATAAAAATAAAGGTGAAATAAGAATTTTAGTTTAGGGGTGTTACTGCTTAACTACCTATGACTAGCCATAGGATACATCTTAGCGATGTAATGTATTGCCATAATTTTTGGTGGGTATATGTAACACTGCTGTCAAATCCACACGAATCTTTATTATTCGTTCGTCATTATTTTATAATAACTACTACATGTCCAAGTAGTAAAATGAAACGAAATGTCGTTATAACACCATTCTCCTATCCAGCTATAGCTACCTCGTGTGTTCAAAAGTTTTGTGACAAACTATTTACTGAAAAAATAAAATGTTACTGGCAGTTATTTTTTTTACCGATTTTGAATTTATAATGTTAAGTTTTAGTTTATTTGAATCGTAAATTCATTTTTTTATGTTTTCTCGTTATGGAGAGAACGAAACAATTACGTGCAACTGTAATTTCGCTATTTAAGGTGGGAAAAAAAGCGATGCAGATTTTCCGCAAGCTGAAAAGTTTTCCTGTGACCTTAACTTCGTCTATTACACAATACAGCGGTGTAAAAGAACAAGTTTACTGCAAGATCGCCAAATAAGTGGTCGGCCACGCTTTGTGAGGACACTGCGTACATCAAAATCATCCGAGAACGACTTCATCGAAATCCATATCGCACTCAGAAGAAACTCGTTCTACAGATTCATGTTTCGCGCGTTTCAGTGAACAGAATTCTGAAATATGATTTTAAAGTAAAGACCTATAGCCGTAGAAAAGTTCACTTTTTAAACGATTGTCTTCGTAAGTTACGACGCGAACGTTTTCCATTGCTGCTGAGGAGACATGATGCCAGGAAGATACTCTTCACCGAAGAGGAAATTTTTACTGTCGAAGAAAAGTTCAACCGACAAAACAATAAAGTGTACGCTAAAAGTAGCAAGGATGTCCCAGCTTATGCACGGAATGTCTTGCGCACTCATCATCCGGCTAGTGTGATGGTATGGTGAGGAGTTTCGTATGAAGGTGTCACTCCGCTCCATTTCTGCTAACAAGGTGTCAAGGTGAAAGCCAAGAATTATCAGAGTGACATTTTAGAGCCCGTGGTGAAACCCCTATCTGATTGGTTTAACAATAATGATTGGGTTTTTTCAGAAAGACTCGGCGCCATCCCATAAGGCAAAAATCACCTAAGCTTGGTTGAAGGAAAATGTATCGGCCTTCATCGCGGTGGACGAGTGGCCCTCCTCCAGCCCCAACCTCAAACCGCTGGATTTTTCTTTATGGACTGAATTAGAGCTCACGGTCTGCCGAAAGTCCCACTTAAACTTGGAGTTACTGAAGCCGAACGCTTGTTCGATAAGCAAAGCGAATCCCTCTAGAAAAGATTCGTGCCGCCATTGATGACTGGCCAAATTGTCTAAGGGCCTGTGTTGAAAACAAGGGCCGTCATTTTAAATAAAATATGTATTTTATTTAATGGTCACTGAAAATTTTAGAAATATAAGTCAATTATTTAAAAAATTAACTCAACTTTTATTTCGTCTCAAAACTTATGACCACACGAGGTGGATAGTTAGGCGGTCGTACCCCTGCCTAAGGGTTTTATTACGAAATTAGTGAGTACTAGTTAATAGTTAATAGTTTCATTCAAATTAAAATGTTTATTTGTTAATAATATCTCATTAAATTATGACAAATTTTCTCAAGTACTTAATTCTCTCGACTATAGATACGAGTGTAGGACAAACTCGAGAACGTTTTGTCGACACTCAAATGTCGCTATGCTCCGGTACGTCCATACAATTTCACTCTCGACTGCAGGAAAGTGACATTGGTGTAGACAAAGCATTTCTCGAGTTTGTCACGTTACGCGTGCTAAATGTGTTCGCGTGATCGCGGATATGGTAATGTGCCAACATTACATAATAAGGATAGAAAAAGTTTTACTATTAATAATAAGGACTAGAAAAAGTTTTACTATTAATATAACTCCTGTTTTACCTATAGAAGGTCGGACGATACAAATGGGTAGACCTTCCCCATAAGTCCTGACAGCTTCTTCAGCGACAGCTTTCGTGAAGCAGTAAGTGTTCGGCCGTTTTCCTAATAACCTGAAACAGAAAAAGCAAAAATTGAATCAATCTAAGTACGGTTATATTTTAATGAATATCGCCTTATTAAAATCTGATGATGATGATAATGATCTCGATGGCGCAGTTGTTAGAGCATTCGATCGCAAAGGCCGATCATCAAATTGGTGAACAAAAATTTCTTATTTTAAATATAGAGTTCTTCAGGTATTCGTGCTTTAGAGTAGGCACGTTAAGCTATTGGTTTCAGCTGCGTCTGCAGTTGTTAACATCATGATACTGGTATGTACTTTACCTAGAGTAGGCCTTTATCCCGTTACCAGGGATATTATTTACGGGTGATGATAATGACCATATATTGTGATAATCATTTTAAAAATGAAAATATGTTGTTAATGAGAAATGTTTAAAATTCCTCCAGTACAGGTACCCCAAGTTATGACGACACTGAGCTACCGGAGACCCGAGAAGACTGAGGAATTTTTCAAGCATTTGTTACTTTTCGCTACTAGTGAGCGTATTTTAATCGATGTTCAGGCAATCTATCCAAACTGAACTAATACTTTTAATAAATAAACTTACGTTGGCAGAATGCTTTCAAGTATCTCATCGTTTAGTTCTGACACAGCTTCCAGAGCTTCTACAGACATAGGAGGTTCGTAAAACCTGAAAAGAAATTCCGAATCAAACAAAAGATGTCATCAAAAGATTTATGTCGTGGAATTTAGAAAAATAAATTTTGAACATCTATCCAGATTATCTTTATCATATTGCTTAACGCGTCCGGAGTCGAAACCGATCCTTGGGCGACATGGACAGCAATCGAGAGAGTCATTCAATTGGTACTAAATGGCGACATGGCAAAATATACATAAGTTAGTTTGAAAAAAAAAAATGGAAATGTAAACGTGACTTACTTTTCTTCAACATATTTAACGTGTGTATTTGAAAATGCAGTGGAGATATGGGTGATAGCTTTTAAGTTTCTGCATTCATTAGCTAGTTTTAAAACCTCCTTAGTACCCTTTACGTTGATAGCAGTCGACGTTGAAAGTTTCTCATCGAATTTAACGGTTGCTGCTGCATTTATTATAATGGTAGCCTGAAAGTAAAAACAACGCCATCTATTGCTGAAGTGGAAGAACAGTATTATGATATTACGAGGAGCGTTCAATGTATTCTTGGTATCGAGGTGATATACTAATTATGAGGTTAATTACATTATTTTATTATTTAAAAACACTCTTTGAGGTTAATATTCAAGATATTTTAGCAACAAGGATGAACGATTTGACAATGTTGAAAAAATTGAGTATCGCGATGTGATTTAAGTTCCTTACAAAACGAAAAAAGACTCAAAAAGTAACTTACGAAAAAATGGTAGCTGTATACCAAGATTCTGATCCGTTATTATCAACTATTCAGAAGTGGTTTAGCTTATATAAACAGGGTAGGGAAAATATTGAAGACGACCTCCGTGCCGGTGAGCCGGTTACTGCTATTTCTGAAGAAAACGTCCAAATTGTGGAGAAATGTGTACTCAAAGATGCCCTTGTGAAAGTGAGAACATTAGTAGAAAAGACAAAGTATCCATGGGTATGGTACACTATTCTTCACGGGCATCTGAATCTGTCAAAGGTGAGTGCAAAATAGGTTCCACGAGTGCTCACGACGCCTCAGAAACAAGTGCGAGTAGAACGTTGCCAAGAGTTTTGGAGGTAGGTATGTGGTGAAAACCGCATAATTTTGCGACCGAACTCTTTCTGGTGACGAAACGTGGGATTATCAGTATGATCCTGAGAGCAAGTAAGAGTCCAATGGCATAAAAAAGGAACAGACCCGTCGAAGAAGTTCAAAGTCACTCCATCCGCTGGAAAACTTATGGCCAGTGTTTTGGGACTCTAAGGGAATTTTACTGATTAAGTACTTAAATACCAAGGTCCAAGTATTACTGCCGCATTTTACACAAACACCTTATATAATTTAAAGAAGGCCATTAAAGAAAAAAAGATGTGGAAAATTGACAACGTACTAGTTCACGCAGGATGTATTGTCAAGGCTTTTCGTGAGGAATTGTGGATTTGAAGTAATCACTCATCCCCTCTATGCAGCCCTAGTGAATAATTACTTTTTGTTTTCTAATTTTTAAAAAGATCTTCTAGTTATTCCGACATTAAAGAGTTGAAGACAGCAATCAATCGACCTTTTTCAGACAAGGAACAAAATTATTTTTAGAAGGTATTGAAAAGTTACTATTACGTCCAGATAAATATATTGAGGTGATGAGAGCTACATTGAAAAATAAATTTATTTCATAATTTTTTGCTTATTCTTTCATACCTATACCGAGAATACATCGTACGCCTATCATAGATCACAATATCTGCAAGCTTCTTCAATTAGTATAATAGTCTCTCTTATGAACTATTGACTTACTTTACTGGTAATAGTTTTTCTGTCCTCGTCGCTCATTCCAAGGCCTGGTAGTTCCATATCTCCAATTATAGGCACCATTTTATGAATACCCTTTGGATTAACTTCATGTGCTTTCTCAAACAACTGTAAACAGAGGCACATACTTATACTACTCATTTGAGTTAACATGACACCAGCCTTATTTATATCATATATTTTTCATTTTGACTCACGACTATTAGAGGGTATGTAGCAATACTCACGAATTCATCCAACATTTCGTGTAGTCTCGCTCTTGCATCTTTTCCTTTCTTATTTCTAATTAAAACGTATATTGTGTCGATGTCTCCACAAGTCCGGAGTAATTTTTCAATAAGTACTAAAAAAGGAAAGTTACTTGATACTATAACATGTGTTATAATAGTAAATTATAATTTATGATTTCTGAAATTCGACAATAGATGGCGTTGAAAATCTAATATAAAATGATTTCTGACGTTTTGGAGAAGAGCAAAGTTCCTTATGTAATCAATACAATATACCCAATTATATTTGCCAGGGCAAATTAGGCGTACGTACCTACGAAGTTGTTTGTGATCGAATGACAGACACTCCATATGTACTCTTAGGTCGGACAAAACCTTCATAATAAGGGTTCCGAATTTTCTTTTTGACTATAATCTAAGACTAGTGCCAAATTAATATATTGAGCAAACGTTGAAATATTGACGGTCTAAAGTCGGAGTCTTTTATTGTTTTATATAGTCTTTTAATTTCGTCCATGGCATTCCCCATCAGGCTTTTTAGAGAGCGCGTACACCAAAGATTTCAATCTTTTAATTGGTTAAGCTAGCTTACTATAGACTACGGTTCTACACCGAGGAATAAATCAGAATTTCAATTTCAGTCAGAAAGTCGATTCATAAAATTTTCTCGATAGAAAATACACGCCATCTTTAATTATCATTTTATTGTATATGTAGGAATTGATTTATTCACTTGACATTGGCAGAATTGTGTGAAATGCGCAGATAAGCTATTATTAAAAGAAGAAGAAAACAATTAGCTTAAAAAATCATAAATTTGTGTAATTATACCTATTTGTATATAAAAAAAGAATATGCAGGAAGGTTACGTTGCCTCTGAGGGCTTTATTTATACAATTACAATAATTATAATGGCTTGCAAGTAATAAAAAAAAAGGTTTTCCACAAATTTTGCCATCCTCTGTCACTATTTATCTCATTGCCAGGCGTTAAAATAGATAGGGGACAGCTTTTTATGTTTACTCCTAGCCAATTCTTGTATGTACTTAATCCACTAATTATCCTTTATCTACCAAAAGTAATGTCAAAATAGTAAAATGAAATTAAATATCATCATAATATTCGCTATGGCAATGGTAAAAGTTATGGCTAGATAGAGTTATTGTCTGAATTTCGGAAACGGCTCCGAGGATTTTAAGAAAATTACGCTGGAGGTTCAGGGGCGAAAAATCTATTTTTTTGTTGTAAAATAAAAGGTTTAGTTAAAATAAAGTCAGGGGCACTAATAAGTAATAACATAATTAGGCAATACAGAATGTATTTTAATTCCTAATACCTCACCATCTTTCACCAATAAACCTCAAGAATCATTGAAAAAGATTCTTGAGGTTTATTAACCCCTACAAAGCTGGGCCGCGTTGCCTGTTCTATTATAAAACAAAATGGCGGATTGCTAGGGCAGTGAAGTGGTCAATGCCCTTTATCTCATACGGATGGTTGACTGCTGTTTCTTGATTTTATACTTTTGGTTTTACCTACATCATTATATTACGTAAACGCTCATGGATAAGATTAGTTTCTCAGATTGTACGTGGTTTGTGTACAAAAAAGTTTTATAGGGTTACATCAAATCTTAAAGAATTCCGTCTGGAGGAATGCTTGTTTTGGGGAAATAATAATGTTATACGATCTCTAGGTACCTAAATAGGTACAATATAGGTAAAATAGGTACCTATATGTATTGTTAAATTACATGAACCCTAAACCTAATACGATAATACATTCCATTTTTTGGACAGTCGTTAATCTTCGAGTAGAGTTCGTTTCACATTCGAAAGAAGTTCTTTGGATTATTTACATTAATATTATTGCTTTTATTACAAAAGTATAAGGGTTACACTAAAGAAACTCTTCCGTGAAATGGTATATACAGCGTTTATTTATTAACATCATTTGTAAAAGGGTTCCGTAACCAAAGGATAAAAATGGGACTCTATTACCTAAAATTCCGCTGTTCGTCTGCTTGTCACCAGGCTGTATTAAATAAACCGTAATAGAAATTTTGCACATATGATGTATTTCCGTTGCCTCTTTAACAAAAAAAAACAGATTCAAATAAATATTTTTTTTATTGTTTATGGTTAATTGTACGGAACCCTTCGTGTGTGGGTCAATACTCGCACTTGGGCAATTTTGTTTTCTTTATCTCAAACTAGCTTTTCGCCACCGGCTAGTACATTTATTTCCAGGGACCATTTAGCGGTGTTTTTTTAACATAATAAGGTCTTTTTACTCCACTTTACACACGACTACCACGAAGAATTTTTGTCCGACGTGTATAATTACCTATAGTATAACTAACGGATGCGAAACATCCTGTAAAAAAAATACAAAATTGCACACGTTAAAACCGTTCAAAGTTGTTGTTGTCATATAACCTTGTATTGTGGTCACTTACACGATCGTAAAAAGTATTATGTAAATTGTTAATTTTAATAACTCTGATGAAGTTACTTGTTACTTGTTCCTAGTTTAATAACATAAGAAAATAATTTTAAACACTGATGTTTTTTTAGTTTGTTTAGCCGCGATTCTTTTGTCAACTGACAATGTAAGTTTAGGCAGGACGATCGATTCTGAATTCTACTGCGAAAAACTGCGAAAAGCGGCCATAATTAATGAATAGATGCTGTTTTGCCATTCAGCAAAAATTAAGTGGATTTAGTTGGGAGGTGCCAATTTATCCGCCGTATAGTTCTAACCCTGCTGCACCTTCAGATTTCCACCTGTTTCGGTCTCTTCAAAATTCTTATGGCTGTGTCAGCTTAACATCACGCGAGAACTGCCAAAACCACTTGTCACGGTATTTTTTATCAGAAGCTCCGAAATTTCTATAGCAATGGGATCATGTCTCTACTAACTAGATGGCAAAAAGTTATCGAACAAAATGGTAAGTACATATTTTAGTTAAATGATAATAAACATTATTAAAAATGTTTTGAATTTTCATACAAAATGCGAAGAAATCTCAACCTAGTAGCACTGCTATTATGATTTCCACAATAAGTAAATCTGATTTCATTAAAAATAAATATAAGTAATGTCTTTCATTTCAGTAATACTTTTGGATATGTTCTAGAAAATTGTTCATTCCGTTTTTTATCGCTTTATTACATGTAAATGTAAAAGCACGCAATAAATTCACAAACTAAAAGTTATTTACTTATTATAACAATATTTTGATCATTTTTCATAAAAATTTCAATAATTAATAAATAATTTAACTTTTTTTCAAATGACGTCACGCGTTATGTTGACAAGGATCCAGCGCATTAGCAATTTACGGGACTTATAAATTCTTATCCCTTAACATTGTTTGTGCATCACAGTCAGTGTCGGGTCCTACCTTCGTTGTATTATAAATTATCGAAAAATAAAAAACGGAGCAGGACTTGACTTGGTGGACATAGCAGTACAAGCGTGACAAAAGGCCCTACAATCGAATTCATCATTTGTAGAAATTTAATCTTTTGTAGGTCTGATGTACCTACTGAGAGACACTGTAATAACTATATTTTAATGAAACCAAAAAACAAATTAAAAATGAAAGATTAAAAATGTGATTCCGGCCAGGATCGAACTGGCGGCCTTCTGCGTGTAAAGCAGATGTGATAACCACTACACCACGGAACCGATGACTATTAAGTCGAAATTGTGTAACAACTACTAAACCAATATGTTGCTAATATAATTATCTGAGTACAAATACCTTGGGCATAGAATACATATGTATAACAGAAGATATAAGAGTTCAGCATTAAATGACGAAATATCTTTTTTTAAGCTATCAGTTGTTTCAGTAAGTAGGTAATTACTTGTATTACCATATGAGTAGCTTTAAGGTAATAATTATATAGACATTAATACATTTGACATGAAATATGAAACTTGCGTAATGAGTATTTTATTGTATTGCTAAATTTTGTTAGATAAATTCAAGTCCCTAAATTAAATATGTTGCTATAATCTGTGCCTCGGGGCAGAAAATGTTATAATCGCCATTTGTGCTTCCTTATCTTCGTTGTTCGAGAGAATTGCTGAATTTAATAAATAAAAAATATGGATCGTAAAAACCTAAATACCTACTGAAGTTTTAGACAGGTTCAATAAATAAATATACTAATGATCTATTTATAATTTCGTTTATTTATTTATTAAAATAAACTTTATACTTATTTAAGGACATTTCATAAGGCATTATTCGTTGAACTAATGCTGCTCTTACAAGGGCATAAAAATGTTTCAAAGAAAATTTATTTCAATTATAATATATGTCCTGAAACACAAAAGTTCATTAAATTTTAATGACGCTTTTAAGCTCTAATTTTTAAAACATGTTTAATGGACGTTGTGCAACTGGCGATGACTGCCTAAACCGGTGATCGTAGAGTCTTGAAATTTTGAGGATACATTCGTCTTATTACGTAGAGGTGTACTATGAACGGATTTTTGGAATTTCCACCCCCAAAGGGGTCAAAAAGGGTAAAAACTACGAACTACTACGAAAATGGGAGTGATGGATTTTACGGGGAGCAAAATGACTTCCGTAGCCGAGTGGTTCGCACGCCGATTTCAAGGTCATTTCCTAGGATGCCATCTCTGAGGTCTTTTTATAGTTAAGAGCATAGTTTATTATAGTTATAAATAAAAAAAAAAACAGAAAATATTAAACACTGGTTTAATTACCGATTTTTTATAAAGCATAAACAACACCGTACATAAAATATATACTACAATAATTTACAGAATAACTTTTTCTACGACACGACTTGCCTTCAAACTGATTCGTCCATCTGAAAAAAAAAAGCAATATTTTAACTATATTAAACATAGTTTTACTATCAGGTATCTATTTAACATCATCCTATTTTATTATTTATTATTTTATTATTAAAATCATCCTATTTTAATGCTACCAATTCTGAGTGGTAATTGTATGAAGATTTGTAGTTCTTAGTTAGGTACGGTTGGCAGCGTAACCCGCTGCTGTATAGGATTAAGTAAGTAAGTAATTTTAAAACAATAAAATTAATTTCTTTATTTTATAAGGAAACTAGAAATCGTAAAAAAAAATGAAAATAAACAAGTTATAAAAAAAATAATAAACTTTACTTACCTTCGTCGGGATCGTTGTTCTACCACCAACACACTTTTATAACAACAAGCAGAAACAAAAAAAACACACACACACACACACGCAAAAAAAAACGTGCAATAGACCATGCTACACACATTAAAAGTTATAAATTATCAAAAAAGAAAATTATCTATTTCGATTTTTGTATGAAAGATACGGAAGGCGCATCGCTTGAGAAGTTTTGTGAATTGGGGCAAAAAATTGCAGGTATTAAATTATAAAATAGCATGGATTATATAAATCCTTCGCTAACTCTATTTCTATATCTATATTATTTTTTTCAAACTTACTGCCATCTATCGTGCGAATTCCGAAAAAATATATTATATCATTATCAGATAGAAACTTTGGATGTGAATTTTAATGTAATCGATATTTAAAAAAAGTAAAACTGAAATAAGCACTCTCAAAAGAAAGGAATATTTAATCTCTTTCGTTGTTATAGGTAATATAAAATATCCATAACAAAACTTTATTCATAGGTTCTTTGCGCTTAGCAAGATTTATAATTGAAAAAAAGTTAAATAATAACTAAAAATCTATTAAAAAGTATTAATATTTTCGTTGAAAAGCGCTGCCATCGACACATTTTTTTGAGGATTACTAAGCCCAACCTTTAATTTTCATAAAAAAAAATCGTTCGAATTTTAAAAAGAGATTGAATAATCAAAAAGTTAGCTCATAAAGGACTAATCAATATTACCTTTTTTCACTACTTCCGAAAAAGGTCCTTTTAGAACTAACTAACAAGCAAGAATCACTCACCTTTACCCAAAAACCCGGTACCACCCGTCAAAAAAACCGTTTGATCCTTATAAAACTGTTGAATCTCTGATGCGCCACATTTACCCTTAGTCAGTCGTCTCTTCTCCTCTTCTTTAGCGTCAACTTTGTCTTCTTCAGCATAATAATTGTCCAAATTGTTGGCAGATACGAATTCGTGGTCTTCAGAGTAATCCAAAATGGGCGCCGTTGGATTCATAGCTTGGTTTTCCACGTCAGCTATGCGTACCGAATTTTCTAACTCCTGGTGGATTACATATTAATGAATAAGCATTGAGTAGCTCAGTGGCGTAGTGGATAAACGCCGCGGCCCGCGATCGTTGTCGTAAGGCAACTTTCGCAAGGGTCGGTCGCGGGATAGGTGACCAATAAAATATTGTCTCGAGCTACTCCGTGCTTCAGAAGGCACGTTAAGCCGTTGGTCCTGGCTGCAGTTGCAGTCGTTAATACCAACTAATCCGCATTGGCCCGGCGTGGAGGGTCATGACCCATCCTCCTTAACCATCCATAAGGAAGGCCTGAGCCCCAGCAGTGGGGACGTAAAAAGGGCTGATGATGATGAATAAGCATTATAAAAATGGTTATGCCTTCGCAAAAGTTAAGATTCGTTTGCATATAAACAATCAATGATATACGTGGAATAATTAATTATTTTTTTCACCGTTGAGTATTAAAGTGGTTTTTGTTTTTATAACTAATGGTGTTTCAGATATTTGCATTGTATTCACAACACTATCTAAATACTCAGGGAAAAAATCAGATTCCAGACTGGACTTGAAGCGATCTTTCACCAACCGGGCGACTTCTCCGACTCTATCGGGCAACTCAAATATTAAAGTAAAGCGTCACTGAAACCTATTTGATCTGTGAACCGGACATAACTCAGAGCTTCATTCTATACATGAAACCCGCCCTACGTATCGCATACATACGATACGATACAGAAATCATAAATGTTAATGTCTTTAAAAATATTTACTAGGTTTATTCTATTAATAAATTATAATTATAATAAATGCTCCATAATTTACCTCTACTAAAATATGTTTTTGTGTTATGTGGCGTGTGTGATATGATGTACTCGTATTATGCATGCGATAATTGTGTTAGGTATATTTGTATCGTTGGTATAGAGCATAGGAAATGATAACTTTTTATTTTATATTTGCTGTTTTCCCGCGACTTCGCACGTGTGAATTATAATCTGTGTCAACCCCGTATGATATATCTATCTGTAGGTAAAAGAATTTTAAAATTGGTTCAACAGTTTCGGAGTCTAATCGGTGCAAACAAACATACAAAAAAAAAACAATCAAATCTTTCCTCTGTATAATATTTGTATAGATATAGATTAAAAATATTTTCTCAAAATCTTTATCGTGTAATATATCCTACCCACCGCCTAATATCAGCCGTTTTGAAACAATGTTACATAATTATAAGAATAATCCTAAAATTATAATTGTTTTTACGTGAAAAGTAGCTCTATATCCTTACGAACAACGTTTCAAATTTAGTGGTATCGTAGTGTACCACTAAATTTGAAATGTTTAGTTGATAATAAAGCGCGGGCGAGTCCAAACGTACGTAAATCCGTGAGCCGACGATATGTATTTGAAGATTTAACATATTGAGCCATTTTACTTTATTTGTTTTTGAACAAAAAGAGTTAAAGTAACGTTTAGACAGCATATTATTACGATTATTTGTATTTTTTATAAAATAATAGGCCGAGATATTAAGGATCTGAATATAAATCTCAATATCAGCCGAGTGATCGATTTTGGGGAAATTTATTAACACCAAATCCTAATGTCGGCCGCCTAAAAACTATTTTTATCAGCTTCGGATGATATAAAGGGAATCGATGTGTAATAACGAACGCCTTATTGTTGTCTTCCTAGTAACTGTTGTATTTCCTAGTAACTAAAATTGATATTGTATTAGACTTTTGACTTTTCTTTACCGGTATCACTATTAGCTGAAATAAAATAGTCCTCAGTTTGCAGTCGCCCAAATGCTAAAATATCAATCGGGTTCCATTGCCAGTGGGATCAATGTAAACAGTGATCTTTTCTATTCATATTGCTTTTGGTGTCAGTGTTGTGTTACCTTCGTTTGTTAATATATCCATAATACTTACAAGTGCATTAGCTACTTAATTTGTTATCTGATTAAAGTACGTTATATTTGTGACGTAATGTTGTCTAATATTTATTTATTTTATTATTATATACTCACGTGTAAGTTATCCTGTAATTCCCTGCTCAAATTTCTTATATTCTCCAACTCTCTTATTTGTTTCTCTGTGGGTTTACCATAAATGTCAATGTCTATTTTCTCTCCCTTCTGTTGCGCTGCTACCCACTTCTCCATCTTCTCTCTGGTCATGTCGGTGGGTATCAGCGGAGAATTCTCCAGCGAGTGATTCATTTTACTGCGAAAGACCAAAAAGGACGTCTAAAAAAATACATTTTAATGAACAAATGGGAAGAAGATTCCGGGAGCATGCCAAACTCGAGAGACTCAAGAAACGCTCGATAGACTCAAAAACGGATCGAGAGCGAGATATGCTCTCACTATAGGTTTCTCGAGTTTCTCAATTTTGTTCCGCTACGAGGTAGGTCATAATTCAGGAAAGCACATAAATGTGTATAGATTTTTATCGAGGGCGCTGATATTAAATTTACCACTTAATTTTCTTTTTATAAATAAAATAAAAACAATAAACGCTTTTGGAATATTTTAAAACTTATACTCGTCGTTAGTAAACACTATTATAACTCCGTATTTAAATCATTTGGAATGGAATGCTTGGATATATTTTGAATGAATCTGATCTCAATCAGTTACGCGGTGGGTCTGCTAGAATTACCTTAGTTAAGAAATGTAGATATGTGGATGCAATTGTGGATGTATATGTTTTTTATAACCAACAGATTGTGAATTTCATATCTCCACGATTTTTTGGGTCTGTGGGTAAAAAAGAACTTTATGCTATTTTTAACCGACTTCTAAATTTAAAAGGTGGAGGTTCCATATTTTTTCATATATGTTCACGGGTTTCTCTGTGAATTATAGATCGATTTAAATAAAATAAATAATACACAAAGGTAGAGTTAACCTTTGTTATAGATTTATAACACTTATGCACAAACGTCCATTAAGGTTTAACGATGCCTTTAAGCTGTAATGAATGTCAAAACTGTATGGCTAATTTCACTTTAAACTAATAGACGTTTGTGCCACTGGCTGATTAACATTTATCGGAAAAAGGGTTTGAAATAAGAAATTAAAGTTTGTATGGATGTTCATCTATGTCAAAGATTAATAAATAAAAACACCATTAGGCTTTGTATTTTATTTAGGTACTGATTAGAAATATAGATATAAACATTCGCTTTAACGTTTTTGAAATTTCAAACTTGGGGACTGGGGTTGAAATTCAGAGAATTAGGATGATAGAAAAAATAAAAATTAATTAAGTATAATGAGTATGAAAGACCATACAAATCTGTTTACTTTTATCTGTTTATTAATAGAGATACATTTTCCCTGATTTATTAGAAACAAATAAAAGATATCACCCAAAGAAACTATAGCACACGGACAAAGTCACGGATCAAAGCGAATGATATATTATAAACTATGAGGTAGACAAACTTGTACTTATTAAATTGTAAACATTTACAATGATTAATTATTGGTAATAACAAAGTTACTTGGTTATTATGGTTACTTGTAAATGATATTGATCTTACAAAGTTATCATAGATGACTTTGTAGAGTTCTATTCTACAGTATATTAAGGTTTAAATGAAGTGGAGAAATTGGACAACGTTTTAAGATTGGGAAATAATGATTTTTTTATTTTCAATACTAGGTCCCAATCATCATATGTCGAACTTATCATGTTCTTACATCTTTTTGTTATACTACATATAATTACCAATGATTTTACATTCACAATAAAGAATATATCACAAGATTTACCAAGATTTTCTCGATGTTGTGTCTTTCATTTTGACACTTTAACATGTTTTACTAACGACGAAGAATGATAAAGAAAGATGATTATGGATTTGACAGCAGCGTTACCAAACTAGTAAATTATACCAAATTTAACAATCCGGACCGGACTGATGCATCTTTCAAGCACTTGTTACTTTATCGCTAATACACAGCGTATTTTCATTAAGGGCAACCCAACCAAAGAGTCGAAAGAAATATTTTTACAAATATTTAAACTTTCGATAAAGATGAAAATTTGTTCTAATTATTATAATTTGACCAATTGATCAATTTTACATTCACAATGCTATCATCATCATCATCACCAGTCCAATGCTATCATCATCAGGGCCTTCCTTATGGATGGTTAAGGAGGGCCATTACCCTCCACGCTGGCCCAATGCGGATTGGAGGGTATTAACGACTGCAAATGCAGCCGGGTCCAACGGTTTAACGTGCTTTCCGAAGCACGGAGTAGCTCAAGATAATAAATTTTTTGGTCACCCATCCCGTGACCGAGCCTTGCGAAAGTTGCTTAACGATTACGATCGCGGGCTGTGGCGCTTATCCACTACGCCACCGAGCTACTCGTCACAATACTATACTGACAAATATTCTTAAAGAAAAACGCTTAAGAAATCCACTTGGTCTTAGCACCCTGAGATGGGATTCGAACCTCAATTCTCAGTATAGTATTATGAATGCGAAATTGATCAATTATAATAAGTTTTTTTGATTTTACTTAAATTATTTATATTCATTAACGCTTTACATACTTTATTTGAAAAAGTATCTAATAAAAGAAAGGTTATAATTATATGTAATCGGATCTTGTTCGTGCATTTTTTAAAACTATTAATTTACCTCGACGTTTCGGCTACGTTGACCACGGCTGCTGTAAATGCACGAACAAGACCCGATTACATATAATTATAATGTATACAAATCGTGTGAGTTTAAAAATATTAAAAGAAAGGTTGAATTTAGGATACAAATACAGTAAATTATTTACCTAAGGTAAATAATAAGGAAAAATCGAGAAGCCTTTTTGCTGATTTTATAATTACTATGAAAGATTCAGATAATTTGATCTGGCATTATATTCTCATTTGTGGTAGGTTAAGGTCGACCTACGGTTTACTTTGTAGTATACGAATATATCAAACATTTACCATATATAATAACTGATAGCCTTGTATCAGATTTTTGCAATAAAATTACGATAATCCCTAACTCTCTAGCCATGATTCTAGCCATAGGATACGACATCTTAGCAACGCTGTGTTGATATTTCATTTTATTTTACTTCTTACTTAATTTACTTCTTCAACATGTATTTTATCAACGATGAACGAATGGCAAAGAATACAGAATTGACAACAGAGTTACCAAATCAGTAATTGACATGTCAAAGAAGTAAGATGAAACAAAATACCGCCATAACAATCGATAAGATATCCTACGGCTAGAATCGTGCTGTGAAAAAAGCAAAACTTCTTAATGACGTAAAAAACGGCCGTTTATGCCGCAAAATATATTTTGGCACTCCCAAGGGAATCAAAATAGGGATGATGACTGATTTTTGATTATTAATGAATACTAAACATTAATTTTTTACGTTATTAATAAATTACGGTGATACATTGAGATGAAATGTCGTATGACGTCACAACTTTGTACATTTTCTACATAGCTGTAACGTAGCGAGCCCTACTACGCAACTTTAATCGCTTTAACTAAGCACTTTCTTGTTAAATTGATGCAAAAAGTACGTGTCTAATAATATTTTAAAAATACACATTTCAAAAGTAAGAGGAGGCATTCTAACTTTTAAATAAGAGAGTAAAAAATATGCTCTAGACCTCAAAGAACAGTTCTATTCAAGGAAAATGAGATATAACTCATTTTCCAAAAGCGCCAATATATTATATATCAAATATAAAAAACAATATTTTTTTATCTATGCTTACGGAACCCGTGACGCAGTGTAGACAAGATGGACTGACGAACCCAGAAAAGTGACCGACAATGGCTGAATGCAGATAATCTATGTTTGTGATGCAGTGTAGGCAAGATGGATTGACGACCTTAGAAAGGTGGCCAAAGGTAACTGTATGAAGATAGCAGAAGATCGCTTTCTGTGGCGCATTCTGGCCGAGTCTTAATGGACATCCAACAGAGGACTGCTACAAGATAATGTCCAGAGCTACATTGGTAGAATCAGTAATGTAATATCACGCCCTAAGCTTTTAAAAACAGGTTTAATCAATTCATATTTCACATGAACCATACATCAATTACTTAATCAGTATAAAGATCTGAATCAGATATGACAGACTTTAGACATTTGATTGAGTAATGTAAATTATAGCTGGTTGGTTTAGAATAGGTACGTTTGTAATAGCAAAACAGATTTTATTTTCAAAACAAAAAAAGAGTTTTTATGTTCGTTTTAACGAAATCGTGTTAAAAAAAACTTTGTGTTTTTATTTTCAATTGCGAACTTACTCTGTACAATCCTTATGGACAATTCTGTCAATCAAAAGACGTTCCTTCAAAAGTTTCTGTCGCCCACTCTTCTCCACAAAGACAGTGAATGAATAAGAAGAAAAGAATTTTATTTATTAAATCAATTTTGCATTCAGAATGGTATACTTAAAAATAAACTTATTTGCGGTACGAATTCAGGAAAATAACTTTGACTTTTGTGTGAATTAAAAAGTAAAATACAAGGTCGTGTGAACCTACACTAAAAGTATTTATGATAATATCTTTAAATGTAGTTATTAAAAAGGGACTTTTTCATATTCATAAGGGGTTTGATAAAAAAAAAAATACAAAATTATTACATTTAAGGTATTTGCAATTTTTTCAATTTCTTCTTGTATTTACTTATACTTTTTTTTATAGGAAATTTTGATAATTATCTCAGTCACTCTGTAGCAGCGGGCTTAAATAAGGTTTTAAAAGGGGCTTAAAAAGAAAATAATGTTCTTTCGTTATCATTGTGCTCGCATTTTATTTTAATGAACTTGTGTAAATAAGTGTTGAATAACAGTGGCCATCTTAATTACCATACAATCGCATCGTTAAGTCGCCGACTTGTGGGTTAACCTACCTTCCATGTCATTTCCTAGTACCTACATACATATTTTAGGGTCTTTATTTATGTTGGAAACGATTTTCTAAGTAGACGTATTAACAATAAATTATTGGCAATCCGCACAGCAATAAGAAAATATGAAAATATCGGCTATAAAAAATTTGCTTAAATCTTTGTTTTATTCCATTTTTAGTTAGTATTTGTTGTTATGGCGGTAACCGAAATAATCTGTGAGACTATGAATGTATGTGCATTTTTGGTCCTTGAAAGTTTCTATATAACTCAAAACGTTACCTACCAATATGCGGAAGTATTTTTTATTCTTATGTAGGTTCGCGAATGTCTATCGAATCACTTCGTCCCACTTCGGCCCACTTTTAAAATTTCATAATTGCGACAAAACATTCTAGCGGGAATTTTTAAAGTTGACATTGACATATATTTGTTTTGGTAAGAAAATATCAATGTCAGTACTTGATTATCCTTATTGGTTATTTCCTGTTTGTCCTTCATGACATTTTTATAAACGACATTGAAAATTTCCAGTCAAGTTGATTTTCAAGTTTAAGTCGTGACGTAAAATGAGAGAAGTTATTCGAAAAATTATCATTCCGGTGTCTGGTTCTAAAATTAGACTACAGTTTTATTTTAGTTTCACTTTATTGATATTATTTTTGAAATTTCAAGTTTTATTTTAGTTTTTTTAAGACATTGTTTGATCGGGGCCCGAGAAGTTTTTGTGCATGTCACTATCATCACATCAGCCAGAAAACGTCCATTGTTGGATAAAGGCCTCCCCCCTCCCCGCAAAATGCTGATCACGATTACTGGGAAGAACCCGGTGGGCGCCTTGTTGAATCCCGGGTCCTTCTCCCCCCAATAGGACACTCCGCAACGGGCTTAACTTTTTAGGACCGTTGTGGGGTCAGGGAGCCCTTTTGCTCTGCGTTATAGAAAAAAAAGGATTGCCGAGAAGCGTTGGATGAGGGTCCGCATCCATTGCTTCCCGGTAATCCTGACCAGCATGCTCACTCTTGAAAACAATCGTGATCGATCGACATGCAATTGTGACTTTTGATTTTGTA